GACAAGTAAAGAGCCCCTCAACCATTAATCTTTGGACACCCTTTCTCTTGGTAAGCAACAACCCCTCCTTTAAAGCAGTAGCTTCAGCCACAGTGATAGTGGCTTTACCAAGTCAAAGCTCTAGCCCCGATAAGAGGCCCCACATGGTTTCGCAAAACAAAAGTCGTGGCACCCCTGCCCGCAGAAGCAGGACCATCAAAATTTAAGTTAATTACATCCGGAGGAGGAGAGGTCGACTTAATAATATGCACTGTTCTAAAAATCCCGCCTAGGAGTTAGGCAGCTGGCCACTGTCCCAATTAATCCATAGGTGTTTGAAAATTAAGAAAGGGCGCCTAGACTTGCTTAGGCGGCCACCTAGACCACTTAGGCACCTGCCTAGTCCGATCAGACACGCCTAAGTTGCAACTCACTTAGACAGAAAATAGATAACTTTCATTTTGCATTTTCTTTTTTACAATAAATTATTAGGGACTTGTTGTATGCTTAAATGAACACACATTATATGCTTGTTCCCCATGTCTTCATTATGTTCAAATACTTCATCATTCTATTTTGTAGTTTATGATGAAATTATATATATTGTAAGTATAAACAGACACTTATATACACGAAATATAATAGATTTACTTAAATCCGACTAGTCCGCCTAAGCGCTAGGCCCCAGCATACCGCCCGACTAGTGCCTAACATCTTTTAGAACTTCAATAATATGGTTCTGATTTGGAGCCCTCGTCTTGACAGGAATGTAATTTGCGAGGGAATAAGCATTCTCCAGTTTTGATGCCACAATAAAACTTCTAAAAGCATTTGGATCGATACTACTAAAAACCTTGTTATTTCGTTCTTGCTATAATTGCCAACAAATTAAGATTGCCTTAATCAATTCACTTAACTCATTCTCATCATTAGAGTTTAGGTTCTCCAACCAGTCGATGACAATGTTAACATGATGATTGTTATTCTTCCAAGGACTTACCTATGATACATTCCACGGTTGACAAGCATTATGGCAATTAAGAAACAGATGATTTTGGCTTTCCTCAGCCTCATTACAAATAGGACAACTGGTATTAATGCTTTGAATATGTCTACTTAATCTCATCCTAGTATGCAATCTCTCCAAAATAAATAGCCAAGCAAAGATTTTAACTTTTGGAGGAATTTTAACCTCCACATCTTTTTAGATGTGCTCCCATTTGAAGTGTGCTCCCACACACACAAAAAATAAATAAATAAATAAATCCTCCTTATTTACCTTGGAATAGTAATCATACATGTATTTTGATAGGATTTTTACTACTCATGTGAACGGGTTTAAATCTCCTATTTTACTTGCAAGAATAACAAGGTTATTATAGTATAAACGGATCTCGCAAGGTCGTCTCCACAAGGACTATTAAATAATTCGAAACTAATCAGATTCTATTTAATTATTGTAAAGTAAAAGTTTAGGTTATTGATTTTATAACCTAATTAAAATAAAAACGAAATTAATGAATTATAATAAACAATCGGCAGTATTAGAGCCAGTGAGAAAAGAAAACAGTTTTGGAAGAATAAAATTAAGAAAGCACTAGGGTTCCACCATCACCTAGCAATCCTATGAATTTTTACCAATTACTTATAATCTACACATGGCACTTTGAAGGTTAGATTTTCCTAATTCATATTCTACTTGGAACCTCCAACATAGAACGTATATCTAACATGCAACCCGTCCGGATGTTCGGATCAAATCTGAACATGAAAGACTCATTATGCTTTATGAAAATCCTTTGAAAAACCATGCAATCCTTAAAACGTGATATTCATCCTAAGTGAAATTACAATTATTAATCACAAGAAGCCAGCGTCAATTTCAGGGAACCTTCTGACCAAAATTGCATCAAATTACTTTTCTAAAGATCCTAATGGTGATCAGGCATTAAGACAATTAGATAGTTTTTATCCCGGTGATTAACAATTCAAAGTATGCATGCACTCAATCATAAGCAATTAAATAAAAATCACATATTCATGCTAAGGCTCAAGGCTTCACCCTAGCAAAAGAAATTAGTTCCTCCGCATATTCATAATTGAAATCGTAGAAAATATATTCAAGAAAAGGATTGAAAGCACCTTTAAGTAAAAAGTCTCCAAAACACTAACAATTCTCTGTCTCCAAAATTGCATAAAAGAAAGCGTAGCGAAAAACTGTAGACGGCCAAGCAATATATCTGCTAAGCCCCCCATACAAACCATAGGAAAATTAAAATTAATAAAAAAAACAATAAAATAGGAAACATAACCCTAAATTAAATGGTAAAATTCGCCTAAAATCTGAACAGCCACGTTTTGGACCCATAAGCTGCTCCAAAACTGGCCTAATATAGCTGGATTTAATGTTTGGAATATTCTGAACACTTCTCCAGAAGGCCACAAACCCATCCGAGGTCATCTTGGGCTCCAAAAACGCAATTCAAGCCCAAAAACGTCATTTTCCAGTACTGCACACTGCTTATTTATTCCATCGCCAGAAAATAACCGCTTGGTGAAAAATCCCATATTTTGATACAATCAAGCTAAGTGACTCACGAACGTCGTCCAACTAGAATTACTCCAAAATTCGTCCATTTGTTCTTGTTTTGCTCCAGAGGAAGTCGAAAGTCCTATATTGAAAATACAATTCAAAGTATCAAAATTCTTTCAATATATTAACCAAAATATACTAAGATTAGGGTAAAATATATAATATAAAATCTACTCATCAAAATACCCCCAAACTTAGCTTTTTGCTTGTCCTCAAGCAAAACAGAATAAAAAAAAACAACGATCAAACAATATACCTTCCATAAATTAGCCTCAAAGCAATCTAGAGACGGTCACCAAACTTAAGAGAATTAAACATTTTTCAAAATAAAATTAACCAAACCTTAAAAAACATTCTCAAGCGTAATGAGTGGCATAACCAATATCAATACAACTTACTCAACCCGGATAGGTATATGCAAACCAAAGCTTCCACTTCAATCCTCTACCATGAATATCACACACACAAAAATCACACATTAAAGAGCAAAGTGTTTCACTCAATCATTATAAGCAATATAAAACCCCATAAGCTTGCTCTTCATATCAACTCTCCACTAATGTAAATCAATGCAACACCAAAGATCAAAGGTCTTTATAAAGGTTGTAACATTAGGCTAGGGTATGGGCTATCAAAGAAAGGATAGGAAAAAAAACTAAAACTTAAGAAATACCAAGATATCTTCATAATGTAATTCGGTCGGCCCTCTTTTGAAACTTGAATCTTCTATTATTGGCGTCCAGGACTCATGTCATAAAGATGGAACAATTTCGAACTCTTCTTTTCTAATATTTTTTTTTTCCGATTTATTTTTTCTTTATTTATTTTTTTTAGAAGAATAAAAAATAATACTAGACATGGTACCTCAGTACACGCCACTTCTTATTGTAGAACCCAACCTTTATCTTCCTTGATGTCCACTTGGTATCCCTTAAGTTATAGGGTATGGCTAAAATAGGTTAAATGTGTAGGGATGAATGTGGGTGATGAAAGAAAAAGCTAAGTGTTTGGCTTCAAAAGGGTAACTAGGGAAAATGAAACATAAAAGGTTGGTTAGAAAGGCTCAAACGATCCAAACATGGCCTTTATCATCTCTCTAATGTTGCATGACTTAGGATTTCGCCTCGAGAGATATTGAAGCAAGTTCTAGTGAATGATAATGCTATCACGAAACTCACAAAAAAGAATATGCAAGACGCTCAAAATCTCACAAAGGTTCAATAAGTTTTCACTTTAAATCCACATATAATTCTCTAAGAGATAATCATACTGACATTGGTTATTGGTATAAAATAAACTTGAGAATGATCATGTAAGAATCGGATTAACCATATAAAACAATTGAATTTTCACAAAAGAAGAATCAATTCAAATAAGTTTGTTGACCTAGAAGAAAGCGAATTATTATCATTGACTTATGGAATGTCTAACTAAACGATTCAAGAAAAAGAATCTTTTTGGATTTTTTTTTGTTTTTTTATTTTTTTTTATTTTTTTATTTTTTATTTTTATTTTATTTTTTAGCCATATAAAGACCATGAAAAACTAAGATATACTGTCCCACCCCCAAACTTATTTCACACTTTGTCCTCAAGGTGTGGAAACAAAAAAAAACTAAAAGAACAATAAAATAAAAAAAAACACAAAAACTCTAGCGGACAACACTATAAGAAGAAATAAAAAATAAAAAAATAAAGATAATGAAAAAATAAAATAAAATAACAGAAAATAACAAACAAAACAAAAATCAAAGAGAAAAGAACACCTAGCCAAGTCCATGTGCACAGCAGGCGTGCACCAAAAACCGAGCACCAGTATGTGGACATTGGATTCTCTGCGAGTTTTGATGGGGAAGGTCATGGTGTGCGGTGGCCCGTGACAAACTACACAAGTGGCCTAGTAAATCCACTTAGCAAATGCTAATTAAACATTGGAGTCCCTGCGACATGAATGGGATGCAGCTGGCATCCTCGAGCACCGAGCCGAATGGCTCTTCTCCCCCTTTAATTCAAACTGAGTCAATTGAACAAACATAGGAAAACTCCAGCTATGTACACGTGGCGCGCATCACTGCATTAAGCTCCTTAGGATTCCAAAAGAACGGTCAAATCACTCTCACTTTTCTGTAGGCTTTGTAAACCGCAAGTCTTGTGCATTTCAATAGAGACCGAAAGAAATCTTTCATTTCTCTCAGCCCCCACATCTCTTTACAATGAAAAATAGGTCTCCAAAATGGAAAGAGTTTTGCCTTCTCTCTCTCTTGAAAGTCTGAAAAGGCTTTTAAGCTCTCCATTGTCTTCTTAGTTTTCTCTCATTTGTGAGAACCCGAGCCGCTCCTCTCGTTTCCCTTAGACCCCAACTCGCTCACATTTCTAACCTCCGTGAATACCTAGCCTTGGTGGGAAATCTGAAAAAAAACATGCATGTGGTGTTATCTGCTTAAGGACCCCCAATAATTTCAAATCCGAGTCGATCTACACCACGCGCTTGTCTCTGCGGAAATCGAAACCCTTCAACTTCTACCATGGACATGTGAAGGTAAGATATGTGCATCTATTTAACGTTACTCGAGCAGCTCCATATGGTTGGTTTTATGTCTCAGATGCGCCATACTGCATGTGTATACTTATGTTTATTTCGATTGTGGGCACAGGTCCTCGATCTGGAAGCTTAACAATGACAAGAAAAATGAAAACCAACTACAATGCATATCCGGTTCCTGCAAAAGGTAAAAATCTTGTACTCCGTAGGGTAATGAACCCCATGTTGTAAGAAAATAGCTTCATCACCCCTGCATGTAATTATAATGGTATGGTGTTTGTGCAGAACACTCAGATCCGTGACAAATCCGAGAGAGAAATCTCAAACTGAAAATCCACTGGACAGAAAGCATGGCACATCATGAAAGTCTTGATCTATCGATTATGAAGGTATAAACTCATCCCTGCTCTTGTTTAAATGCCATGAGTAATTTCATCCACGGATCTTTGAAAAATGTTAACAAAAACCATATGTATATGCGGGTTTGAACATGAATCGAACTAACAACATACGGACTAACATGATATGTGAAGGGAAAATTATGAGTTTTCATATGGGATTTCTAAATGACTATCATGCGTATACAAATCAAATTTAATATACGAAAGCAGCGGAAGCATTTATAACAAATTATCAAAGCTATAGTCATGCAAATCCCCTTCAAGGTTCATAGGTTTATATATAATGCATCAAATAAAATTTAGAGAAAAGAACAAAGTGAAGGTTTAGTCTTATACCTCTTGATCTAGACTTGAGACCAAGGATGGACCACCTCCAAGCCCTTTGTTCCTTGAACTCCTTGAGCCTAGCTTCCCTCCTTGCCTCCTCCACTTTGATAGAATGTGTGCTCCTAGGTTCTCTTCAAGTTTCCAAAGTAGGAAACCTCTAAAGATCCCCACCCACTAGTGTAGTGAGAAGGATGAAGGAATAACCAAAGGGTGAAAGATATGTTAGTAAAATCACCCCAAGGTGGCCGGCCTTTGTGAAGTTTTAGGGAGATATTCTTTTGCCTCTTTGTTGTTTTTTTAACCACACAAAAAACCCTAATGAACAATATCTTATAAAGTTCCTTATATAGACAAAAGAAAACCTAGTCAACAACTTGACTAAATATCACACCCTCTTCACCTTAAAGTGGCCGGCCCTCTTTGTGTTGTTTGGGCTTTGGGCTTTCATTTATTTCAAGTCATCCAATGCTTGAATAAAAGCCCAATGGGTTAGGCCCAATGGGCCCAATTAAACCCGAACGTTTCTTTAAGCCCAAAACGATCTTTATCGCTTTTATGATTTCTTTAGACTTTCTAAATTAATCACAACACTTAATTAATCCAATTAATTATTTCCATCATCCATTAGTTACTCACTACAATAGTGTATTGGTGAACAATCTTTTAGGTTCTAATTAGCAAGGCAGTGAGGTGATTGGCATCAATCCAATTGATTATATTTAATTCAATCACTTAGTGAATTAAAACTTCATTTTAATTCACCTTTCTTCTTTGACGACTATATTTAATCATCTAGAAGAACTCACAAGCTATGAGTGACGTCTAACCATATGTCATAGCTACCCAAGCTAATGTAGAAGTTTATTCGGAGAACCTACTCAGTTGGAATTACAATGTAATTCGATCCTTCTCTAAAACAATACTCTCAATCACATCATTAGGGTATGGATATATTATGTCAAACCCCTAATGTGATTATTCCTTCTTATATGATTCAATTGAGTCGTATAGGAACGCTTTCCTTTATTACGCTCGATACTTCGGCCGAAGATTCCCGAATCATATCTTAGAGTATTCTTCCTCTCTTATCGAGGATTAGAGATTCCTTGTTGCGCATACACTTGCCTTCATGACTAAGTGGCTTAACCCCAACTATGCCGTTGACATTCTGATAGAGTGACTTTTGACATAATCAAAGATCAAGTACTTAACCACAAGACAACGACGATGCCTCAGGTCAAAGGACTACTTACATTATTCCAACCATTAGAGTTACTTGCTTGACATGTGAGTAGACCTCCATGCAAGTACTCTCGTTCGATTGTGTTCAGTGAACTCATTCCCTTAATGAGCACCTACATACTTGTCTTAGTGTCACCACACGAATGGGATGAGACTTTCCATCCTTCCAATTGAAGCAGACACAGTATGTACCGGTCTAAGCATTGTCGTATCCCCCCGACAATCCAATGACCAGGAACCTTTTGGACATAATGGTTATGTGAAGAAGGTCTCTGTAGTCTAACATCATTAGATTACTACTTCAATCGATCCATTGTCCATGGATTCACTATTTAGGACATATATCGTTTATTGAGATAGTCCTAATTAGTATCTTTGCCATTCGATGTATAAGAGTCATCTATACATCGATTCATTTGTCCTGAAAGGTTTCTTCCAAAGATTGACTTTCAGGGCATATTTCCAACAATATGATGAAAGTGAACTTGAAATGCGTGAGACTTAACGAAGACTAAATGACCACGAAAAATATGAACCCTAAAACGTAAAGGACTCCAGATCTGATGAACAAATAACAAAATGAATAAGACCTTCAGAAAATCGACTTTCACAAGCTTGTGTGTTTTAAGTAATACATAACCTGATCATGAAAATGAAAGGGTCATCACTCTTTCTATTGTGAACTGTGCAGGACGACAATTTGGTCCCAGCATGGTTTCATTGTGTTGCTCTGTGTAGTAAAGGTGGATCACTGATAGATCCGTGGGAAGTAAAGTGGATGGACAAACATCAGCTTCAATAGACAAAAACGGCACAAGCTTCCAAGAGCCCAGATCGGTGAATCTGGGAGGTAAAATTTCATATCCTTGCAAGTTGAATTGTTGTAGATCTTGTAATAATAGCTGTACTCAGTTCTGTGGTGTATGGATTTGTCATTTAATTATGCTTCTCCTCCATGCATCGCAAAACTGAGCTGTAGAAAATTAACTGCTCAAAATTATGTCTCTGTGCTGGATCTGCAACAATCTCCCCCAAACTTGCATCTGTGAATGACTGTTTATGTTGACTGCTTTAAATTTCCAGCATAGTGTAGATGTGGTTGATGTAACGGTAGACTTGCTGCTGGCTGCAGGATTCTAGTTAAGGACGCACTTTATTTTCCACGTTCGTAACTTGCAATTAACCCATATGTGTTAAAAAGAAATTAAAATAAAATCAAATAAACTGGGTAAATAAAATCAACCTGCAATTTTCCATTTTTGAATTTTTCGTTTTTTTTTATATTAAAGAGAAAATCAAACGAAAATTACAATTAGGAAAAAGTTTAGAAAAATTGGGTTGCCTCCCAATTAGCGCTTTATTTTAAGTCTGTAGCTAGACGTTGTGGAAGTCCGGTGGCTAGATCACTGGTTCCTTCAGAGTCAAAGACTCGTATGCAGTATCGAACGGTGACTCCACATATGGTTTCAGCCTGTGACCATTCACCTTGAATGCGTTGCCTTGAGCCTGATTAGATATTTCAACTGCCCCATGAGAAAAGATTTTAGTAACCAAACATGGCCCAGTCCAGCGAGATTTCAATTTCCCTGGAAACAACTTTAACCTTGAACTGAATAGCAACACATTTTGCCCTGGCTAAAATTCTTTCCGTAAAATTTGACTATCATGAAACGCCTTAGTTCTTTCCTTGTAGATGCGAGAACTTTCATAAGCACCCTGACGAATTTCCTCCAGCTCATTGAGCTGCAATTTACGTTGTTCTCCAGCTGAGTCATACGAAAAATTTAACTCTTTAATTGCCCAGTAAGCCTTATGCTCAAGCTCCATAGGTAGATGACATGCTTTCCCATAAATGAGTCGAAATGGTGACATCCCAATAGGAGTCTTATAAGCTGTCCTGTAGGCCCACAATGCATCATTTAATTTTAAACTCCAATCTTTATGTGTTGAACCAACTGTTTTCTCCAAAATGCATTTTAATTCTCTGTTTGAAACTTCCACTTGACCAGATGTCTGTGGATGATAAGGTGTAGCCACACGATGATTAATCCCATATTTTGCCAACAAATTAGCAAATGGTTTATTAATAAAATGCTTCCCCCCATCACTAAGAATAACACGTGGAATTCCAAAATGTGGAAATATAACCCCTTGGAGGAACTTCAAGACCACTGATCCCTGATTAGTTGGTGCTGCAATGGCCTTAACCCACTTAGAAACATATTCCACCGCAACTAAAATATAGTGGTTCCCATGGGAAGATGGAAATAGTCCCATGAAATCAATACCCCAAACATCAAATAATTCAACAATTAAAATACTTTGCTAGGACATCTCATTCCTTTTGGACTGGTTGCTGACTCTTTGACATCTATCACAAGCCTTGCACTAATTATGTGCATCTTTAAAAAGTGTAGGCCAAAATAACCCACTCTGCAAAATTTTCTCTGCAATTTTTTTCTGCCCAAAATGTCCCCCACAAGCAAAATGATGAGCAAACTTTAAAACACTTTCCTGTTCGGCTTCAAGAATACACCTGCGAATAATCTAGTCGGGGCAATACGTAAATAGGTATGGCTCATCCCAGAAATAATGCTTGACATCAGATAAAAACTTCTTTTTCTGCTAAAACGTTAAATCTGGATGCACTACACCTTTAACCAAATAATTAACAATATCAGCAAACCACGGTGTACAGAATTGGACTGCAAATAGCTGTTCATCTGGAAAACTCTCCCTTAATGGTAGGGAATCCTCTTCTGAAGCTATCGGAATAATTAATCTAGACAAATGGTCAGCCACCACATTTTCACTACCCTTTTTATCTCTGATTTCTAAGTTAAACTCTTGCAATAAAAGAATCCAACGAATCAATCGAGGCTTAGCATCTTTTTTAGACAACAAATATTTCAAAGCTGCATGATCTGTATAAACAATCACTTTAGCCCCAACCAAATACGAACGAAATTTTTCCAATGCAAAAACAACTGCCAACAATTCTTTCTCTGTGGTAGCATAGTTTAGTTGTGCATCATTTAGGGTTCGACTAGCATAATAAATAACTTGGGGAAGCTTATCTTTCCGGTGTCCAAGAACTGCTCCCACCGCATAATTTGATGCGTCACACATCAATTCAAAAGGTAAGCTCCAATTAGGTGCTGCAATAATGGGTGTTGTAGTAAGGAGTGTCTTTAACTTCTTGAAGGCCTCCAAACAAGCCTCATCAAGAATGAAAGGCGCATCCTTAGCCAATAATTTACACAATGGTCGGCTAATCTTGGAGAAATCTTTGATGAACCGTCTATAAAACCTGGCATGGCCAAGAAAAGATCGAACACTCTTAACAGTTGTTGAGGGTGGCAACTTTTCAATTGCATCAATTTTAGCCTGATCAACTTCAATACCCCTGTTAGAAATCAAGTAGCCTAGGACAATTCCCTGCTTAACCATGAAATGACACTTTTCCCAATTTAAAACAAGGTTGGTCTTAATGCACCTTTCAAGAACTAGAGATAAATTCTACAAACATTGGTCAAAAGAATCCCCAAAAACAGAAAAGTCATCCATAAATACCTTAACTACATGTTCAACTAACCCAGTAAATATGCTCATCAAGCAACGCTGAAACGTGGCAGGACCATTGCACAAACCAAAAGGCATTCTTTTATATGCGAAAGTCCCAAAAGGACAAGTAAAGGTTGTATTTTCTTGATCCTCAGGGGCAACTGGAATCTGGTTATACCCTGAATAACCATCCAAGAAACAATAGAAAGCACGACCAGCCAACCTTTCCAACATTTGATCAATCAATGGCAATGGAAAATGATCTTTTCTAGTACCTGCATTGATCTTTCCATAATCAACACACATACGCCACCCAGTAGTCAAACGAGTAGGCACAAGTTCATTATTATCATTCTTCACAACTGGAATACCAGAACACTTTGGCACCACTTGAGTTGGACTAATCCACTTACTATCTGAAATGGGATAGATCATCCCAGCATCTAAAAGCTTCATAACTTCATTACGAACAACTTCTTTCATAATTGGATTCAAACGACGTTAAGCGTCAATGGCAGGTTTTACTCCATCTTCCATCAAAAGTTTGTGCATACAAATTGTAGAGCTGATCCCTTTAATGTCAGCTATAGTCCAACTAATTGCATCTTGATAACTCTTTAAAATGCGCAACAATTTATCTTCCTCTGTTGATGATAAATCAGCAGCTATAATAACTGGCAGCGAAGAATCTGCACCCAAATAAGCATATTTCAAGTGTTCTGGAAGCACTTTTAACTCCAGTTTAGGTGACTGTACCCTAGAAGGCTGCAACAGCTTTTTGGGTTCCCCCAAACTCTCAAAAACGTGCCTCCAATGTGGGGGTTGAAAAGGAACACTTTCCAATGCTGAAACATACTCAAAAACCTCTTCATCTTCTGTATTTTTATTCTCAAACCCATGCAACACATTTAACAATGGATCAGATGTCAAACGTGGAATAATTTCAGCATGCAATACGCTGTCAAGCACATCAACATGCATACAATCTTGCACATCACTTGGCCTTTTAGTAGCTTCAAACAAACTGAACACAACAGATTGATCTTGCACTCTAAGTGTAAGTGTTCCAGCCTCTACATCAATTAACGTTCGAGCAGTTGCCATGAAAGGGCGTCCCAAAATAATCGGTGTTTGTATATCTTCATCCATATCCAAAATCATAAAATCTGCAGGAAGATAGAGATTATCCACTTTAATAATTAGGTCTTCAATATTTCCCCTAGGATAAGCTACTAAACGGTCCGCTAGTTGTAGAATAACTGATGTAGGCTTGATTTCTCCTTGTCCTAGTCTCTGAAAAACAGAAAAAGGCATTAAATTAATACTAGCACCTATATCAATTAAAGCACGTTTAAAATGAGCATTTCCAATTGTGCATGAAATTGTAAAACTCCCTGGATCTTGTTTCTTTGGGGGCAACTTGTGTAATAGAACAACGCTGCATTGTTCTGTAAGAATCACTTTCTCAAAATCAACGAGCTTCTTTTTCTTTGTGCAAACATCCTTCAAAAACTTGGCATAAGACAAAATGTTCTTGATGGCATCAATTAACGGTAGATTAATCTGAACCTTAGACAAAGTCTTCATAAAATATGTCAATTGTTGATCTTTGACTTTAGGCTTCAACCGTTCGGGATAAGGCATAGGTGGCTCATATACACAATCCATAACAGTATCTGCACCATTTTCAGAACTGTTCAAATGCTGTTCAGAATCTTTCAAATTGGCTGAATTTTCAACATTTCTCGAATCTCTTTTTGGCTATGAAACCACCTGCGAATTTTGAACACAATTTTCAACTCTATTATCAAAACTTTTGCCAGAACATAAAACTCTAACTGCCTTGTAATCTACAGCTCCCCTAGGATTTGGTTCGGTTTGGCTGAGAAATGTACCCGGTGCCTTTTCTGAAACCTGCAAAGCAATCTGCCCCATTTTTTTTTTCCATGTTTTTCACTGCTACCTGTAGATTTTGAATTTCTTGAGTGGTAGTATTTGCCAATTTTTCAATTGCAACCTCCCAAGCAGCCTTAGGTGCAGCAGGTTGTTGTACCTGCTGTTGAAATTGAGGCCTAGAGTGCTGATCTTTGTCGCACTTTAGATTAGGATGATCTCTCCAACCTGGGTTGTAGAAATTCGAATACGGGTCATATCTGGGACGCTAGAAATTGTTAAATGCATTAACCTGCTCTGCTGTAAAGTCTGGGCAAACGTCTTTATGTGGGCAGCTCATAAATCGTGTGTTATCATGTTGCAAATGCTGCAGGCAGCTTGTAAAGGCTGCTGTACAGCAACTTGTGAACCTGGTATTCTCTGTAATAACATGTCAAATTTTGCATCAAGCCTTTTCTCCATTTTTTCAATTTATGCTGTAACATACGGAGAGCCGTTAGACATCTTAAAAACAAACCTAGATTGTGGCTGCTCAACTGCCCACTGCTGAGTATCTGCTGCCATTTTTTCAAATAACAAACAAGCCTCTTGTGCATTTTTATCTTTGTACGAACCTCCGCATGAAGCGTTGACAAGAGTTTTTGAAGTCATATTCAACCCTCTGAAAAATATGTGCATTTGATCAGTAGTGTTAATACCCGAACGTGGACATTTTCTAATCAACTCTTTGAACCTTTCCCATGCCTCATGAAACTCTTCATTTGGTTTTTGGGCAAAAGATAAAATCTGAGTTCTCATGTCAAGGGTTTTCGAAGCTGGATAAAACTTGTTTAAAAATTTTTCACTAAGTTGGGCCCAAGTACTAATGCTTTCTGATGGGAGTGTAAGGAGCCATCTCCTTGTTGGAAGTATGCCCACAAAGCCACTCATTTGATGTAATAGCTTTTTGGAATACTTATTGTATTAAACTTTTATATGTTTAATGAAGGGCAAATCTTATTGTTAATCACTATTTATTGTATCATGTGTTTAAGCAATAAGGGAATCCAAGGAATGTATTTGTTCTAAGAGATAAGTGATCTAATGAGTTAGATTATCGAGACCTTTCTCTTATGTTCATTCCTAAAACGTTCCTAGCCATAGGATTGCTAATTGGGCATTGACAATCCGCTAAGGCTAGTATGTGTTATGTTGACTCAATCGTGAGTATAACTAGTCTCAAGTCATTTGGTGTTGGACACTAAGACAAACACATAGGTGCTCGAAAGAGTACTCGAGTTCACTGAACGACAATCAAAAGAGAGTTCGAACATACATGTCATGTATGAACTCTAAGGTTGCAATATGCAAAGTAGTCCTTTGACCTGAGGCATCATCGATGTCTAATGATTAGGTCCTTGATCTTTGATCCTGTCAACGGCATTCCTTTGGAGTGTCCACGGCATTGTTGGGGTCAAGCTATCTAGTCATGTAGGCATATGAATGCACAACAAGGGATCTTTAACCTTCCATGGTGGAGGGAGAATACTCTAAGATATGATTCTAAAGTCTTTGGCCAAAGCAAATGAATATGACTTAGGAAGTTTGTTCCAAATCATATTCAAGGGAACATATAGGAAAGTATCACATTGGATAGTAGACATGAAACAAACTATCACTTAAACAATGTGATTAAGAGTATTGTATTAGAGAAGGATCCGTATTGCATTGTAGTTGTAACTGGATAGGTTCTCCAACCAATTCTACTTAGCTTGGGTAATCCATGATATGCTGCTAGGCGTCACTCATGGTTTGTGGAAGCCCTAATGGTTAGCAAACACTAATCAACAAAAAGGGAGAATTGAAATGTGGTTTCAATTCACAATCGATCGTTAAGAGTAACATCGCCCACTGCCTCGCTAAATAGAAACCTAATGGATCGTACACCGAGTAAGGATGTATGTGAAGAAATTAAATGAGATGGATAAGCAATTAAATGGTTTAATTGAAGAATGGTCAAGATTAATTAATTAGTTAATTAATTATACGAAAGGTTCGTATTGGGCTTATATGTTGGTTTTGGGTTTCGGGGCCCAAAAGCGTTTTGGTCCACAAGGCCCATTATGTTTAAGTTGTATGACAACTAAAACAAAATGGGCAAATTAGCCCAATAACAAAGGATGGCCGGCCATTAGGGTGGATGGGCAAAGTTTGCTTAATTACAAGTTTGCCACTCACCAAAGAAAAGGTTATAAATACAACTTTATAGCTATTTTCTAATTAGGGTTCTTCTTGTTGAAATTGGGTGAGACATTTTCTCCATTTTCTTCTAAGGAGGCCGGCCACTAAGGGGAGGGACATCTAGCAATCTCTTCTTTCCTTAGTCATCCATATCATCTTCACAAGATACATCCTTGGTGAAGAGACTTAGAGACATCAAGCTTTTGGTGTTTTGGAGAACAAATCCTTTTTCCTCAAATCATCAAAGGAGTACTAAAGGGAAGAAAACACAAGGAGGATTCAAGGAGCTTGGAGGTGACTTGAAGGCCCTCCACTTGGGTGAATCCCTTGTGTAATCAAGGATGAGCTTCAAGGGTAAAGAATCACTAAATCTTTACTTCTCTTTAATGTTGTTAAAGAGTTTATTTTGGTTCACCATATACTAGGCTTTGAAAGTCATGGGTTTTATGAATTGTTTTTGGATGCATGCCTACTTTAAAGTGTTAATAGCTTGCATGTGTATTCAAATGTTCATACTTGTTCTTAGCTAGGACAAAATTTTTCCTTCACTCCTGGCCTGATCTTTTAGAGTGTATGGAAATAAACGGAGCTTAATAGATTCGGCTGAAAATCCTCTCACCAAAATATTTTTGCAACCCATTAAAAATTCTGCAATATGCATGTTTGGATCGTCAGATGATAACCTATGAAATGTAGGTAGAATATTCAACATGTGCTGCTTTATTTCAAATGTAGACCCTTCCTCCACTGCTGGATAAGTAATGCAACTTGGTATATTTGTGGTATGGGCTGTCAGTGAATCACCCAAGGGCAGACCAGCTTCTGGAATTACAAATGCCATTTTTTCTTTGTTGTGCAGGTCTTCAGAATTTAAAGACTGTAGAAAAGTTACTTGCAGAGGAGGAACCCTCTGCAAAGTTTGCTCCTTGCGTTTCCTCCTTAAATTCTGCTCAAGTTCTGGATCAAATGGAATCAATTTCTGTACTGTTGAACGGGTGCTGACCATGCACAGATTTCTGAAATCTGCACTATTGTACTGTTGTAATCTGTAAAAATAAAATAAAAACGAAAATTAAATTTTTTATTTTTTTTATGTATGAACAGTAATAACTAATTGAAAATCTGATTAGTAGGGATTATTTTAAATAACCCCCGGCAACGGCGCCATTTTCTTGATAGGATTTTACTACTCATGTGAACGGGTTTAAATCTCCTATTTTACTTGCAAGAATAACAAGGTTATTATAGTGTAAACGGATCTCGCAAGGTCGTCTCCACAGGGACTATTAAATAATTCGAAACTAATCGGATTCCATTTAATTATTGTAAAGTAAAAGTTTAGGTGATTGATTTTATAACCTAATTAAAATAAAAACAAAATTAATGAATTATAATAAACAATCGGCAGTATTAGAGCCAGTGAGAAAAGAAAACAGTTTTGGGAGAATAAAATTAAGAAAGCACTAGGGTTCCACCATCACCTAGCAATCCTATGAATTTTTACCAATTACTTATAATCTACACATGGCACTTTGAAGGTTAGATTTTCCTAATTCATATTCTACTTGGAACCTCCAACATAGAACGTATATCTAACATGCAACCCGTCCGGATGTTCGGATCAAATCTGAACATGAAAGACTCATTATGCTTTATGAAAATCGTTTGAAAAACCATGCAATCCTTAAGACGTGATATTCATCCTAAGTGAAATTACAATTATTAATCACAAGAAGCCAGCGTCAATTTCAGGGAACCTTCCGACCAAAATTGCATCAAATTACTTTTCTAAAGATCCTAATGGTGATCAAGCATTAAGACAATTAGATAATTTTTATCCTGGTGATTAACAATTCAAAGTATGCATGCACTCAATCATAAGCAATTAAATAAAAATCACATATTCATGCTAAGGCTCAAGGCTTCACCCTAGCAAAAGAAATTAGTTCCGCATATTCATAATTGAAATCATAGAAAATATATTTAAGAAAAGGATTGAAAGCACCTTCAAGTAAAAAGTCTCCAAAACCCTAACAATTCTCTCTGTCTCCAAAATTGCATAAAAGAAAGCGTTGCGAAAAACTGTAGATGGCCAAGCAATATATCTGCTAAGCCCCCCACACAAACCCTAGGAAAACTAAAATTAATAAAACAAAACAATAAAATAGGAAACATAACCCTAAATTAAATGGTAAAATTCGCCTAAAATCTGAACAGCCGCGTTTTGGACCCATAAGCTACTCCAAAACTGGCCCAATATAGCTCGATTTCATGTTTGGAATATTCTGAACACTTCTCCGGAAGGCCACGAACCCATCCGAGGTCATCTTGGGCTCCAAAAACGCAATTTAAGCCCAAAGAAGTCATTTTCCAGCACTGGATACTGCTTCTTTATTCCATCGCCAGAAAATAACCGCTTGGTGAAAAAATCCCAAATTTGATAGGATCAAGCTAAGTGACTCACGAACGTCCTCCAACTAGAATTACTCCAAAATTCGTCCATTTGGTCTTGTTTTGCTCCAGATGAAGTCAAAAGTCCTATATTGAAAATACAATTCAAAGTATCAAAATTCTTCCAATATATTAACCAAAATATACTAAGATTAGGGTAAAATATATAATATAAAATCTACTCATCATATTTCTAATGATGTCATTGTCTACCACTCGTTGAAGACAGACTCTGTTCCAGCAATTAATCTCAATAAACTCACTCACTTTTAAATTTCAATTCAACTTTATTGATTGGTTTTCGGGATGAGCTGAAAAATATGATAAGGAAAACCTAGTGATGGGTCCAAAAGAGGATATCCTCACCATTA